CTAATATGAGTTAAGAGTGCTAAAAGTACAATATGCAAAACTGTTTTAACAACACTCACAATAAGACTCCTAAGCAAATCAATGAACAACTTTCTATCCTGCTCACTCTAACTTGCCCAAAGCAATAAATCCTGCTTACTTCACAGTCTTAACTAAACTGCACTCTAAACAGCCAGCTGAAAATAGCACACTTCACTCAAGATATGAAGATAAATCGCTCAATCCATGAAATACATCGCTCACTGCATGAATCACTGCATGAAGTATATCACTCACTGCATGGATTTAATCATCTCACAGCATGGGAATAATCTGTTCACAGCATGAGAAAATTGCTCACTATATGAACTAGTCCGCTCAATACTAGTTTAATCCAACTCAAAACTAAACTCCTAATCCGCTCAAGATAGCATCTAAATCACTTAATGCAAGGTGTAGTTCGCACAAAGCATACTCTATATCGCTCAAATCTAGTTGCTCAACCTCTTAAGTCCGCTCAACATACAACATATATCTGCTCAACACTATGATCTTAAACCGGTTAAGTCCGCACAAAGTCTAAAATAAATCGCTCAAAACACTCATTAAATCGCTCAACGCAGCTCAACACTTAGCTTCTAATCTGCTTAACAAACAACTTTAGTCCGCTCAAAACAGGTTCAAGTCCGCTCAAAACAAATCCTAAGTCGCTCAAAGCTAACTCTAAATCGCTCACTAGAAGAAATAAATCGCTCACCTCACACGTTAAATCGCTCACTTGATGTCCGAATACGATCAAAACCTTGCTCACATAGTGTCCAAATACGATCAAAACCTTGCTCACATCACATAGTGTCCGAATATGATCAAAACCTTGCTCACATTACATAGTGTCCGAATACGATCAAAACCTCGCTCAGTGTGGTGCTAAATCGCTCACAAGTCCGCTCACAATACTACCTATATCGCTCACAAGTCCGCTCAAGAGGTGGTATAAATCGTTCAATACTAGAAGCTCAATCCGCTCACTGATCTGTTCACTAAATCATTCACAACATAATGTAATCCGCTCAAAGCTAAGATCAAATAAATCGCTCACAGTCTGCTATGATCAAGTAAATCTATCAAAGTCTGTTATGATCAAGATGTTAACCCACTTTAGATCAAACAACACACAAACATAAAAATACAAAAGGTTTATACAAAAACTGGATCAAAATGTACCTTTTTGACGAATTTTCTTAAGAACATGAAGAACACCAAAAATCATAAAACATTTCAAATCTTCACTTTCAATGATTGAATCATAAAATTGTAAGAATAAAACAGATTCACGATTTAAATCCATACACAATGAACACAATTTTAACAATCAAACGACCAAAATTGAAAGATTTAAGAAAATTTTATGAAGAACAAGTAAGAACATTCAAGAAATTTTATGAACTTCAAGAACACAAAAGATGAATCTCCAGAAAATTTGTGCAACTCTTGATGATATCTTCAATCAAAATCTCCTGCAAATCTGCTTTGATACCAATTGTGTGTCCAATATTGATCAATCTTTCATGAAACCTTCAATTCAACAATGGCTGAAAACATATACTCATGTAAGAACCCTAGAAGGAGTAGAGAGAGAAAGTCAACATTCAATATGTGGGTCAAACTCTCATAAACGTATATTGATTTACAATGAGGCTTTTTTCAAGATTACAAAGAAACACCCTATTTATAGGGTCAAACATAAAAGCCTAGTCAAAGTCAACCTATACACACAAAATCAAACACGATGACTTTTACACAATTATAGACACTTTTATCTTTCAAGACGAATACAATTTTACATTGAATTTCATTCCTAACAATGTTCTCATACTAAGATAGGAAACTAGTGAGTTGGTGAGCTAAACTTGTTGGCCAAATTTGCATTTCAAGAATTAACTTGTCAGTAGTAGTTTTTGTCAGACTACTAATTGACTTTTTATCTTGTACTGATCTTCTTTCGGATAGATGACAAACAATCCACTTTGGTGACGATCTTGAGCTCACTTCAACCAGTCTTTGATTTTCCTGAATGCATTTTGTTCTTGGATCACTACAGATGGTTATAAGACTTCTAGAAGTAAAGATCCTACCTTTGTCTATATCTGAAATGTAAGCTACATAACGGATTTTACTAGTTATAGACTTTATGAAGTTTACATCGGATGTAGACTGATAGTTGGTGAATGCATGAATCTTCATCCGATTAAGGTGTTCTGGAAGCTTGGATGAAAGCCAACTATAAAGACAAATTCGATGTTTGTGATATATCCGAAACTCATAAAGGAATAAAATGATATCAATAGAGGGGATATCTGATGAGTGAGGCTTTATCAGATATGTACCTAGTAGAAAGTGGAAAACAATATTTTTTTTTCTTTTCTAAGTGTTTGATAAGATGTCTATTAGTATTATATACAAATGCGATTTTGTTGAGACCAACATTAACATAACTTATATATATATA